CTGGATTGAACATATGAATAATTTAATTTAAAATGTAAAAATATTTAATATATTTAATATTAATATAAAAAATGTATCTAATATATTGAAATGAATTTAAATAGCACAAATTGCTATCTAAAATTTTCGAATAATCAATCCAATTATCGAAACTTGCGTCGAACCTTTAAAAAAGGACTGTATTAAATGTCTCATACGATATTGTTACGAAAAATATCGCAAAAATGAAAGATGTTGGGTTTTTTGTTTCATTCCAAACCGAATACCATGTTAGATAACTGAAATGACCGTTCCATTTAAAAACTTAGGCTGTTAGAGATATGTGTTATTAATTATTTTGCTAACATACGGAAGTCCTCAACACCTCCTAAATTCTATTCCAATTTTTTTAGTTTTTTGCAAATCCGACGGGATAAGCTATATTTATATCCTATATTCTTGATTTTATCCAATCTCTCTTTCTTGGCTATATATATTGACGATTTTGTAGGTTTTGAGAGGGTGTATGAGGAGAGCATCTCAGTGTTACTATTCAGTTTCGATGCAGATCAGGTGCTGAATAAAAGTATTCGTGTTGATTTTTTTAAAACTATGATAATTATATCAATAATATTAATTAATGATACAAATTAAATATTAATTTTTTAAGGTTTTTTCTTCCCTTTTGTGCTTGCTGGATTTGTATTACAAACTTCTCATTCCATTAGACTTCGTGTTCTTTGTCCATCGTGGGATTGCGGGTTTTTTGGTGATTTGGTGTCGAAATTCTTTGCTATCCTTTCTTTGTGGTGTTGTCTCGTAGGAAAGTTTGATATTGGCGCAAAGTTTGATAGGAGCTTATTTGATATTTTCTTTCTAGTAGTATTTTTTTATTCTTTGCTTTCTTTAAATTTTGATTATATAATTCTTGATTGTTATCCCTTAATTAATTTTCTTTTTCGAGAACTATTGTGTGTTTTCCAGATTACTCGAATGTCCATAAGGATCTAGAAATCCAACAAAAAGATAATCATATTAAACTCAAAAAAATGATGATCTAGAAATCCAACAAAAATTTCTATTCTTACGTATTTTTCTTAAAAACCCGTGTCTAGTCAAATGAACACACAATTGTATGACTGAGGTTGTACATTTTTTTATTTGACTTGTGATTTGATTTAATTGTTTAACTAATTTACTATTGATAATGTAAATTCCAATGTAATATACATTTATAAAGTATTGAATTCAATTGCAATCAGTAGGGGGATGAAGGATAGGAGTGTGTTTAATTATTTTTGTTTATATATTTAATTACAATATGCAATTATAATAAAATATCTTTAATTTTTATTATTTGAAAAGTATAATGAAAATATATTCTTATTTAAAATACTATATTTGAATTTTTTTTAATTAAAAATAAAAACAAAATACAATAGCATAACATAAAGTAGTACTAGCTTCGTCCCATCATAGATACTCCCTTTTTTTTTTTTTTTTTTTTTTCTGTTCTATAAAAGATTTCACATTTCTATATTTATAAATTTATCAATTTTAAATACACTTCATAAATATAAATAAATTTAATTAGATTTTTAACCTCTTATTTGGAGGAGGATCCATTTTAAACACATTTATTCTTATATCTCCTCAATTATAGTTTTATTTACCTTTAAAATTTTCTCCCTCCGTTTATAATATGAGTATATTAGATGGAGGAATTTAGGTTAAGTATAATTAGCAAGTAATTAAAAAATGTATTAGTAAAAATAATAATAGATTAAGATTGAGATAACTAAATAGTTTAATTAAAATTTTAAAAGTTATAAAATTTAAAATGTGATTAAAGTGTATAATTATATTTCCAAAAAAGAAAATGACAAAAAATGTGGGACGAATGAAAATAGAAAATAGAGACAAATTATATGGAACGGAAGGAGTAATATTTTTTTATACAACTAATTTATTATATAAATAAATAAAAACTAAAAATATTTAAATTACTAATAAATTTACTCATATAAAAAATAATAAAATAATATCATAATACATAATTAATAACTTATTAATCTACACTATTTAAAACACCGTATTTTTAATAAAATGACTCATATTTGGTGAGACACAGGGGTTATATACTCTCTCCGTCCCATAACAAAAGTATTTATTTTTTCATTTCAGTCCGTCCCATAACAAAGTATCCGTTTCCTTTTTTAGCAACTGTACTATTTACCTAACATTATAAATACTCTTACAACATACAATATATTACACAAATGTCATTACTTTTACATCACACATATTAATAAAATTATTTTAGTCATTTCTATTTTATTCTTATTATATTTTAATGTAATACTAATATTTTTAAAATTATGTGCAAAAAGTAAATGAATATCTAGCTATGATACGGAGGGAGTATTAAAAATGACATTAATTAAATTAGCATTGCAGATGATATGATGTATCACCTCAATTAAATATGTCACATCAAAATGACTCAAAAGTATTGAATCAGTGTTGATCTGACATGAAATATTTGGTATTATAAGTAAGTAAGTAAATAAATAAATAATTGTTACATCTTCGAATATAAATATGAATCAAGAAGATCTCTTTATTCACTGGATGAAGCCCTAACTTGGTCCAAATATATATAATTGTAAGAATTAGAATTTGTTTCTTTTCTTTTCTTTTCTTTAATTCAATTTTTCATTGTTTAAATTCCACATTTTTAATATATTTTTTTATATAACAAAATATCATATAAATATTATTTAAATTTAAATTCAAAAATTTGAACTGAATTCATATTTTAAAAAAATACACACACCAAAGGGTTTAATTTAGTCCTTCTCTCACCTAAAGTAGTATTTACTTTTTATTTTTGTCTGTTATCTAAAAATATTTTTATTTTTTATTTAATAAAAAATTATACCATTTTTTATATTTTTTTTACTGTAAAAAAAAAAAAAAAAAAAAAAAAACAACAACAACAACAACAAATACCCATATTAAAATCATTGCCCAAAAGTTTAAGTACATTGTTTTTTGTGACCGATGTATTATATTAGTGTGATATTTTTTATTTTGAATTGATTTAAAAAGGAAAGAAAATATATACTCCTCCCGTTAAGTTTTAATGTATTCATGTTGTTATTTTAGTTGCTAATCATCAATGTATCTTGTTTTTTTTTAAGTAATTGTAATTTTTATTCAAATAAAATACTATACATTTTCACTTTACACAGTATTGCAAAAAAAATATTATTAAAAAACGATGAATTTAGGGGAATACATTTTTTTTTATTAGATTATTATCAATTAAATACTAATATTCTAAAAATTATGTAAAAAAAATAAAAGATTACATTAAAAATGGTAGAAGTACCTAATTTTCAAATATATATATATATATAAATTATATAATAAAATACTCCATTAAGTTTAAATAAATAAATAAATAAACACACCTTTCCTGTTCTCTGCCATAAACAGACAGCTAGCTGTGACAAGAAACAATTGCGACTTAGTACAAAGTCTGTGCATAATCATATAAGTACATAATATATATATATATATATATTGATTTAACAAATGAATAATGTGTGTACAAATGAAATTATAAAAGTTTTGTCTGTGCACAGTAGAATATACAGAAAGTAAACTGAAAGTCTGTGCAAAGGGCCAGGCAAGGCAAGGCAGCCTCCAATTTTGTGGATCCAAATGCAATTGCAAACAAACACAGACACCTTCAATTCTGTTGCTTACTGTTTTAGAGTGAGAAACAGAAAAAGAGAGAGAGAGAAAGAACAATCTGAGATTTCACAGTTGCTGCAGCCTGCACCTGGTACAATTTAATTCGAAGCCAAAAAACCCTTATCAAAAAATTTATAAAAATAAAAATTGCATCTTTATTTCTGAAACACACACACAGATATATATATATATTATTCATGATCATCATCATATTTTGACTTGTGAAGTGGACAACTTTGTCTCCTCCAAAAACCCTTTATTCAAAAGACTGCAACATGCATCAACAGCAACCCTCTTCTTCCTTCATTCATGTTTGTAATTCAGTTTCTTGTTTTTGGTTCATTGCAATTTACACTACACTTTTGAGGCTACTTTCTTTACTTTGTCCAAAACCCTTTTTTTATTATTTTCAATTAATTAGGATACGTTTCTTTCGGTGGATTTGAAAAAAAAAATTGATTTGAGTCTAGTATTAAAATACTATATGATGAAAATATATTTTTTTCGAAAAATATAGAATTCAAATAGTAAAAATTTGGGAATTTAAGACGGAAGAAAGAAATAAACTCTTAGTTCACAAAAGAAAATGATCAATTTTGGTAGTATTGCCCTAAGAGTTTGACATGTGGTCCTAAATGGAATGTGCAATAACAAGAATGTTAGATTACATTATATTAGATAGGTAGATAGGTTAATGATGGATTAATGGAGGATTGATTAATTAAGTGAACAATAGAGCCATGACTCATGTCTAGAGAGAGATAGAGATGGATAGAGAGAGAATATTCTCTTTAACATTGGTGATCAATCAAGTTATTACACACACAAAAACAATTCATTTACCCACCTCACTTTTTTATTCCCAAATCATCAATACAACAAATCCACACAGAATAATACTCAACAATACCCTCTTCACATGGACAAAATATACTTCCCCTCTCTCTCTCTCTCTCTCTCTCCTCCCTCTCTCTCTCTCTAGAATGATAATCAAGATTCAATGCCCTCCATTGCCTTTGATCAAGTGGCCCCTAATCTTTGGCAGTGGTTTACATACAATTACTTAAACCACCAAACAATCTATAAATATACATACATTTATAGATACATACATATACATACACATATACATACATATATATATGTATGTACTATTATTTTGTGAAAGACCAACAAGATCAATGTGTGCATGTGAGGGCTAACTTACAAAAAAGCTAGCTACACCATCACTTGTACATACATAGATACATTCATATCTATATCTATATATATATATATGTAGAGAGAGAGAGGTAGCCATGGATAGAAGTTCTTACCAAATTCCAAAGGTAAAAAGGAAATGCTTCTTAATTTTTCCATAGAGAGACACAAACCCTAGACTGGTGAAGAAGATGATCAATGGCGATCATAATCAAGATCTGATTTTTTTGGAAATCGAACTTTAATTTTGACCTCAAAGACCTCCGTGAGGATTGTTGTAACCATCATTCCATGGGGAGTGGTAATTGTAAGGGTACGGTGCATAAGGTGTTTGATAAAATGCCCCACCGCCGCCGCCGACGTCGTGGCCGATCCTTCTGTTCGGCGGATTCGGCGGCGGCGGCGCAGCGTCGGCGGCGGCGTGCATACCGTTGTAGGCGTAGCGGAAGAGATCGGCGTTGGCGGCGTCGAGCTCCTTCTGGAGACGATCGACCTGTCGCTGGAGGAAAGTTATGGCGCCGACGCAGCCGTAGACGGGGTCGCGCACACGCGCCTCCGCCTCGTAGGCGAGGGAATTGACGGCGTCCTCGCGCTGGTGGGGGAGGAGCTCGTTCAGAAGCTTCGAGACGTTGCTGGCGCCGAAGATCTTGTGGACGTTGGCGAATTTCTGAGGCTCCTCCGGCGGGAAGTACGGCGCGAAGATGCAACCCGACATGCATTTCCGCCGCAGGAATTTGCAGGCGGCGCAGGGGGAATTGTACGAACTGGAGGAAGCCATTGATGGAGCTTGAAGATGAAGATGAAGATGATGATTGGCTCTGCAACATATATCCCCCCAAGTAATTCAAATTAAAATTTCTGCAATTAAATTTCTACATATATAATTTTTGCAATTTTATATATGTGATTTGCTATTTCTTGAAATCAATTTCTGTTTTGGAATCCCCTAATTTAATTCTCACCTGCATGTTGGGGTAAAATTTGTAAACCTAATTCTGATTTTTGGGACACCCTTTTCCCCAATTTCATTGTTTCTCAACAGTTGATTATTAGTTTGAGTTCAGAAACAGTCAGATTCATTTGGACACATAATTTCATCACCGAAATGATCATATAGAGGAGACATGAAAACCTGAGCAGCCATGAATGTCTGCTCCTTTGTCATGCCAATCAACTATTGACATATTCTCAGTTCACAAACACAAACAGGAAGGCAAAATTAAAGAAATTTCTGAAAAAGTACTTATCATATTCTCCAAACACTGTTGAAAAACAAAAAACAGTTTCAAAATTTGTGTTTAATGTTTAATTAATTGAAGGAAGATCTAGCCAAATTGATGCAGTCTAGTGATCCAATTGATGATGTTTTTGTTGGTTTTAATCAGGGATTTTCCGGAGATGGGAATTTAAAGGGGAATGAATCTACAAGCATATGCTGATCATGTTGGCAAACAAAAAAAAAATTAAAAACCCTAGATAGATCAAGAAATTGTCAGAATTAAAGTTGCACTACACTACACTACTACTGTCTAGCTACTACATATGATCTTTAACTTTTTCCAAAAGAAACATATTACATGAACAAAAGTGAAATGAAAACAACTAGCAAAAGCAGCAAAAGGGCTCGATGAATTTACCTGCTACTAGGTGTAGTAGTAGTAGTAGTCTCTATTAGTTTTCTTTATCTTTTTTTTTTCTTTCAAATTTTCTTTTTCCTTTGATGATCAGAAGAAGGAAAAAGGAGCACTACCTTTTAGCCTGTGTGGAAGATGTTCCAAGAAAATTGCTAAATCTTTGCTTCTCCAAAGTTCAAAGAAAGTGACAAACTGCAGCAGCTGCCACAGGTTTGCCACTGCAATTTCACAGAGATTTGCTCAGAGAGAGAGAGGGAGTGAGAAATAAGCTAAGCCCTGGTTAAAAGAGAAAACCCTAAATTGAAAGTGGGGGAATTCAGAAGGGCAAAAATAAATAAAGTAGGAAAATGAGGGTTGGGCTGGGTTGGGGTGGGGTGGGGTGGGGTGGGGTGAGAATGGAGTGTGATTGGAGGGAAGAAGGCAAAGGGCATTTAGTGGATGGGAGAAGGAATGAAGGACAAAGACAAAGGTAATAATAAAAACCAAGAGGGTATAGTACACTAAAAAAGATGACAATGACCCTCTCTCTCTCTCTACTTCTCTCTCTCTATCTCTCTCATCTAATAATGTGTGTTTTTGCATAGCTGTGGATGATGTAATTGCTTACTCCCTTGGCTTGTTTTCTATCCTCAATACTAACTCTGCTAACTGCACACAATCTGTTCATTGCAATCCTTAATTCTCATTCAAATAGCTTTAAGTAAGTTAGGACATTCACTCATGTTTAATTATGAATTCTTGTCTAAATGTCAAAATCCCCTTTCCATATCAACCTGGTGAAAATGGAGAGGAATATATATATATATATATGTATATATATATACATTAGGTATGAGAACACACACTCACACTCACACTCTCACTCTAAAATTTAATTAATAGAATAAAAAAGATCTATGTTTCTAGAGAGGGTCAGAAGTCAAAAAATATTCAGAAACAGAAGCTATGTACATGCTAATATTTGATTCAGATATTATATGTATAGAGAGGTCCCCCTTCATGTATCAGAATCCAAAGATATATAGGTTAATTAGGGGGTTTTGAGGCAGTTTTCTAACACAAAATTAATTAAATTTAATTAATGTGATTAGTTTTTTTTATTAGTGGATTAGTGATCACAATCCAAATATACCATACTAGGTCTTTTAATTTTTGTGATCTTGTGGGTAATTGGTCAAATTAGGTGGGCTGCTTAGAGAATGAATATATTCTTTGTTGTGGTGATGTTGGCAACATTCTTTCTTTTGCAAATTTTGTATCCTCCACTACAAGAAACATGTTTTTGAGATTTAATTAATTAAATGTGTATTATGTTGTTTTGTGGTTTTAGTCCTTCGTCGTTTTAGTTTAGAAAGCTTTCTTGAGTTGACAAGAATGTGCAAAATAAGTTCGGATATGTAATAAGATAAAGGGCCTAATCAATGGGCGAACAACTTCCATATTATGGTGTGAAAATCCGTACCTGCTATATTTCAAGTGCGCTTGAACTCAAGTCCTTTACTTCTGGTCAAATATAATAATCTATAATTAAAGCAGCGATACAAGTCACATAGACGAACTATGTGTGACAAGTACAATTTAAAGGTATCGAAAGTTTAAATTCATAATCTCACAATTACGAGTTTCACCGCAAATCACTAGGTCATCCCTTACGAGTTCATAGGCAAAGTTTGTTCCTTAGGGATTTTCTTTTTAAAATCTTCATTGGATTATGCCCAATATTAACCCAATTTCAATCAATAAATAATGGGCTTCTTTCTCTCAATTTTGATGAGTTAGAAAGATGTAGATTGAGGTAGAATTAGAGAAAGAACTACAAATAGGGTTCATTAGTACATAAGAACAAATAGTAGATTTCTTTCTCACTATTCAAGAATTGGTCGACGGAATATGAACCGGATGCACCTTCGTGATTATCTTATGTAGTTTTTATATTTATATTTTGACTTGTTGAACAATTTTTAGACAAGCAAAGTGAGATGATCATTTTAGATGAAATGGTACTTTAATAAAAATGAGAGAATTTTAGCTTCCCTCTTTTTGTATTTTTCTACATATTTTTTACTATGTGTGTATATAGTTCATGTTTTTAACAACTTATTTTATTGTTGCATTCAACCTATCTTGAAATTAAGTTCAACAATTTTATCTTCATTTTTTTTTTTTAAGTAGTTAGATTTCTTCATGGAAAAGTGTTCAAGCAATTAAATGGAAGCACATAGAAACAAATAATCATATTACAATCAACAATAGCATAAGTGTCGGATGCTGAATAACCGTCTCACCTAAAAGAATGGGGACGGGTGAGACTCGAAGTCGAGACCTAGCGTAGGCTCTAATACCTGATATCATGTTGGATGTTGAATGACCTTCTCACCTAAAAAGTCGAATATTAGGGAAACGCACCATTAATTATATATCCGCAAACGGGTCCCAACAATAAGTATTTTGGGTTTGTTTGTTTAGTGTTTTAGTTTGATGTATTTTTTTTTATGTGAGATATAGAGAATTGGATAAATAATATAAAAATAATATTTTATATTAAATGTTAATTTTTTGTGTGATAATAAAATATACTAGTATATTATATATATTCGGAATCGAGGAATAAATCGGTAGGAGAACAAATCATTAGTGTTTAAAAAAATTTAATCCATTTTGAACATGGTAGTTACTATCCTCGTCCAACAATTTATATATATTATAATACTTTTTTTAATAGATTATATATATATATATATAAAGAAAGCAATGATTATTGTAAAGTAACATTCAAATTAGGAAAATGAAACATCGTTGGTTGTGTTTCCTGGTAGGGTTTCATCCAGTTTTTAATATTGATAAAATAATTTCTTCTACAAATATCAAATATATTTTTTATTTAATTTTTATATTAAATTTAAAATTAATTTTATATTCAAAATGTTATATCAATAACTATTTATGTCGCTATCACGTTAATAAATTATTATCACCCCGAAAATTTATAAACGAAATAACAAAAGTTTAAGGAAAAAAGAAAGAAAGAAAAAGAAAAAGCCATTGATTGTTTTTTTTTTTTTGAAATTAATTTAAAATGAGGTATTGATTTGGATTTTTATTTAAATAGTATTTTGATGTAATATTTTGTAAAAAAATATATATTTTTATTAAAAATTATACAATATAAATAATATTTATTTGGATTTAAAATAATTAAAGAACAAACTATTATATTAGTTACTTATAAAATCTCATCTAATTACCATGAAAACATCAAATTAAAACACTTATTTTTTATTTTTTATATTATATTATTAAACATCAATTTTAAGTTGAAAACATCACATCAATACTTATTTATATCACATTGTAAAACTATTTCAATTCAATTTTTTTACTATTCAAATTTCAATTCAAAATTCAAATCCCATACAAACACACCTGCACATTATCAAAATGAAATACAAGTATCTATCTAATCCAAGTATCTATCTAATCCAAGTAAAATAAATCTTCTCTTCTTCCTAAAGAAATCACTACAAGAAAAAATTATTTTTGTAACAAAAACTTCTTTTTGTCTTTAAATCTATTTTTTCCGTTACTAATGACATTAGAGATGGAATTAGAAATGGAATTACGTTAGCTACGTCAACTTTAGGGACGAAATTCCGTTACAAATATTTTTTTTTTTTATAGTGAATTAAAATTAACATCTTTAAATAGGTTCACAATGCTATAATAATAATAATATTATTATATTATTATTATTATAGATAATGCTCATTAGTGAATGTCTTTGCATTACTTCATTTAAATGTGTGTTTGATTTTAATTTAAAATCAAATTATCATTATTTATTTTGTACAAATCCTTTGAGGAAATGCATTTAAAATTTTTGTTAAAAAAACAAACTGTAGTATTTGATGCATGTTTTATAAGAGAAAATTAAATACTTAATAAACTATTTTCAAATATATTTTTATTATAAAAAAAATAATAATAACAAAATAATATTTTTAAATGTACATAAACAGAACCTATAATATTCTCCCCATTTTATATTACAATAAAATCGACCAAAGTGGTAAGCTATATATATAAAGTTTCCCATTTAATTTAAAAGCATGCATTTAATTTCTAGAGAGATTCTTCCACTGTGGCTCACTTATTTAATTCAGAAACATATGTAAGGCTTTGTTTGTTTGTGTTTTCAATCTTAGGATGTCTCAAGATATTTCGTTTAAATATATTTTAAAAGTGTTTTTACAATGTTGGATTGGTTTAGTATAAGTTAGATAGAAAATAGATGTAGATATCAGTTGTAATATTTTGAACATAATAGTTTTTTAGTAGATAATTAAGAATGTATTAGTGAAAATAATTATCCGATAATATAAATAATTATAAATTAAGATTAAAATAACTAATTAGTTTAATTAAAATTTTAAAAAACTAAAATTAAAAAGTTTAAAATGAAATTAAAGTGTGTAATCATTTTCCAAGAAAAAAAGTGAAATGGTACGTTGGACGAACAGAAACGGCAACGTGGACATGGTATGTGAGACGGAGGAGTATTAATTTTACTCATAAAATATAATATTTAAATCAAAATTTATTAATTAAAAAAACCTCAAATTAAATACAAACGAAACAAACCTTAGCTAATAATTTGATGCCTTGATTTTTACATAAAATTGTTAATTAATTGTGCAAAAAAAAAAAAAAATTGAAAACGCAAGTAAACATAAGCTTGAATTTGCAATATTAAAAAATTATTATTATTATTATAAAGAAATAAAATTTAGGCTTGATTCACGGTCCCACAATGATGTCTTTCCTCACTTTAAATCAAGTTGGAAAACAAAAATATGTGCAGCAGGAGAAAAATGCAAACATTCAAAGTTTGTTGTGTTCAGATATTGTTGGGTGTTTATTGTTTGCACGATCAAAAGATCGTAGAAAAGTTTGTGTAGAATGAGACGAAATAAACAACACATCAGCCTAACTCTGGGGTACCAACCCACGGCAATTTTACTACAAATAGACATGAACAAGATACAAAATCTCACCACACATACTCCATAAATCAACAGCCACAAATCCAAGTGGTTTCCTTACCATCTCCTTCGCAAATACAAGCATGTAAGGCCTCGATATCCATTGGTTGTGCTTTGGAATTGAACGTTGATGTAGGCAGTTTTTTACCTTTTCTTTCTTCAAATCTCCTTGGAATCTCCTTTCAATCGAACAAACACTCAGCGGTTTGTCAACACAACAGATTGTTGGAACACTTTTAGGATTTCATTTTCGACTCCACGAACCAGTAACTTTGAGAAAGTTTTTCACTTAAAAACATGCATTGAGATCTTCC